GACCTAGCATTCACACTGGAATTATTACGACTAACCGTAATTCCGGTTTGTAATAATTCATTATCAGCTTCTTCCAAGCTTTTAACATTTTTTGTTCTTAAATAAATAGAGTCATTCCTATTTATTTTTGAAAGGAATTTCTCCAATATACTACTTTCATTACACGTTGTTTTGTAATCAATAGGTTTTGGAGTGTCTAATTGGTACTTATAATTTAGTTTGTCTAATATATATTACTAAGATCGTGATAAACTTGGCTTACCGTTCGGAATTGAACTTTTTCTGCTTCTTCTTCAATTTTAGGTATGTTTCTTGTACCCCAAATGATTTGATGAACTGTGTTTTGATTTGCTCCCATGTTGCCTCGTCGAGTCTCCTGATGAATATCGCCGCTTACTCTTGGATTTTTCCGAGCAATATCTTCAGTACGTATTTTTTGTGTTCTGCGTCGGTTAATATCCCTGTTAACGACTCAACTTCGTTGATGAAGCTAGATTCCTCGTAGTGTCCAGTACCGGAGAATTCTGGGACACTTCTGACTTCCCTTACGACATCACTTAGGGTAAAGCCTGAGAGTACCATTTTATGATTATTATTTTGTATTTTTAATCGTTGAAGTGTTAATGCAATTCCGTCTAAATCAGAATCGCTCATTAAGTATAAGTAACAGGTTATTTATTTCTTTTTACCGATAAATACTTGAAAGTAACACTGTTCACTTTTTATAATAATGTTAATAACTCGAATACAATATAGTAAATTAATTGTTCTTTTGTAATTCACTACTTATTTATTTTATTTATTTTTTTTTCAAAGTTAATAAAGTATTGTTTTCGCGAACCGTTTTTTATTTTTTTTTAATTTTTAACTGTAATTAAAAAAAAAATAAAAAACGGTTCGCTTAAAATTCGATTTGTTATTTTTATTTTATTATATGGAGCAGTGTTGGTATCCTTACCGACTGCGCCACTTTTGTATTATTCGTTATTTTAACAAATCACAAAAAAGTTCCTGTTACTTTTTATTAATTAATTTTTTTTTCTTCGATTTATAAAAACACAATTTTAATATTAATTGTTATTTTTTTTATTTTTATTTATTAATTTCTTTTTCTTTTAATTACCACAAAAAAAAATAAAAAACTTAATTTAATTATATATCCACTTTCAAAAAAATATTTAACATTCTTTTTTTCTCGTTACAATTCAATTCAATATCAATTTTCGACTCAGTTGATTTAAGAAAGGAAAAATTAAACCAAGTTATAATAGTATTTCCCTGCTTTTACAAAAAAATATTTAAAAACAAAATTTGTTTTTACTTTTTTTTTTTATTTTAAATTAGGAAACCAATTTGCTGAAGAGAATTATTTTTTAGATTTTTATTTCTTTATCAACATTTTCACACGAAATTATTAGATTTTCATTTTTTTTAGAAATATTTTCACACGGAATAGTTTATTAAGCGATAATTTCGCTTAATAAACGAAATAGAAAAAGCGGAATAGTTTATTAAGCGATATATAAGAAACAAAAAAAATATTATTTTAAATGTTTGTAATATTAGATTCTATTTTCATTATTTACGTAACATAACTCTTAGTACGACGGCTTAAGCCAACATGTGTGATTTAAATAATAAAAAAAACAAGACGAGAAAAACAAAAGTGTATTTTGAGTTATATTGAAATGCGATATATAATAAGAATAACAAAATAAAGAAAATAAAAGGTATCTCTTAATTAGTATTGAAATTTTGTCTATGCTGGAAGAGGATATATAACTTGTGCACGCGTGTATGTTAAGTTCTTTTTAGCGGCCTGTTGTACATTTTTGATTATTATTAAGAAACTATTCAAAAGATTTATTTGGAGTTTCGTATATAAGTTTAATTCGACCGTCCGCGGAACCTCCCAACTTTTGGAAGAAATCAGTTGTCGGCAACTGAAGGTTTGCTACGGGCCAAATATACATTTTTGCATATATAAAGAGAAATAATCAATCGATTTCCTTGAAATTTAATATTTAAATTCTTCGTATTAAAACAATGAATCTATAAATTTTTTCGAAAGATCACGGCTCGGAAACTGATCTGAGGGCCGATTTTACATTTTTTACCATATCTACGGAACGAATTGATGGATTTCTTGAAATTTGATATTTTAGTTCTGGTTGTTAACCGAAATAACTTGTGAGCATTTCAGAGAATTCGGGTAGAAGCGACTAAGAGCCAAATTTACATTTTTCTAGATATAGTAACAAAAGCTTAATAATGCCCTAAAAATTGGAAAGAAGTACTTTACAGACATTTTTAAAATATTCTGTAACACTTTCACTTAACAAGACAATACACATTTCGGTCGGTTATTTGCTGTTCACATCAGATTTTTTTTCTGGATTTTATTTGTATAATATACTCAGGCTCACATGATCTCTTTAATTAGCCTTGTTAATTTATTTTCGTAAGTATGCATTTTGAACACTTACTAAAAATAAGTTGATGATTTTAGTTGATCAACATTCATCATATTTACTCTGTTATTAATATTCCCCTCTTTAAGAATTTTTATTGATTACGAGTCGTTGGTTATATTACTCATAATTACTGGTGGAGATTAATTTTTTTTAAGCTCAAAATTTTTTTTAGTGGAGATCTCGCCACTTTAGTGCTATTTAGTTCTAAAGGCGATTCCAATTCGGGTGAACTTTAGTCTTTTGTCTTTTTGTAGTTTCTTTTGGCTTTGGTTTCAGTTCTTCCTCATCTGCTCGTACACCACAAAATTCATTTTGTTGTTCTTGATGACATTTGAAACTTTATTCCGGTAAATAATTTGAAATTTTCCGCCTTGAGTTTGCAAATCTTATTTTTCAGTTCTTTGTATAAATAAGTTTTCTAAATCGCTTTTATATGAATCAAATTTTTTTCTTTTTCTTTATCTTTTCTTTATGTTTAGTCTTCAGACTTTCTTTATTTATAACCTTCCATGGCTTTATTTTAAACATGCTTCGTACCTCCCGCATGTGTAAAACAAAAATACATAAAAATATGAACACTACGTACATACTTATTATAAAACAACGTAGATTGTAGTAACTTTAAGAATTTTCTTGGGGAAGTGTTCACTTCTTGTTATAACTCACACTTCCAAATATAAATTTACATATAATATTTATACCATCAAAAGTAAATAAAAAATTACCCCTGCAGGATGTAATACCATTTTGTAAAAAACGGTCGTAAAGCATCTTGGGAGGGGGTGAAGGAGAGGGTGGATGGAATTAATACTTTTTCTGCGACCGTGGAGGCAAAACCCTATCTACTGTCTTTTGTCCAATGTCTATTCTATTCTAACTGCAGCTATTCTATTCGGACTGTATTTCCATTTGTGGATGGTATTATGCTTTACTCGACAAACAATACATTGAAAGAATTTGAAAATAGAGTTCAAAAAATGTTTAATTTAACAAACGATAGTAGCAAAGTATGGTCTCTAAAGATTAACTATAATAAATGCGAAATTATTTTGTTTCGGAACACAATGCATAAGGTAAATTTCGATATTAAAAGAAATTGGAAAATTTTAAAATTAAAATAAATCGAACAATAACATAAATAACAGTGTTAAAATATTATAATAGCAGCCGTCATCTTACCGCAATGTTATCCTTACATTATTAACTGAATTAATTAGCAATATAATTGAAACTTTATAATAGTATACATGTTTCGAATATAATTGCTCTAAAATTTTTCTAAAGCTTATCCAAAATTATATGACATAAAATTTTTTCATGTTTGAGACATGTGTAAATAGAAACCTTGATTTTTTAAGGGAAATATGTTATTTTGCGAATTATTGACTTGGACTGAATTTTTATGAAGGGTATAAAAACTTTCTAAGCGTGAAATCAGGACTTCAAATATTCATCTATCCGGATCCGGATTCTTGAAATCGGGATTTATATTTAAAAAGAAAAAAGCTGAATCATGCATATTTTTTAATATTTAACTTCTTGGCTACAATTTTCAGTTTTTATTTTAAAGATTAAAATTTTCACAATATTTCTTAACAGCTTCATTTTTTTCATATTTAATTAAATTCAATTCTAACAATTTCTTTTATTCTTGAATACAAATTAAAGCAACCACATGGACATATGATAAAAATTTTAAAGAGATTTTTCAATGGAATTGTTTCAATTTTGTGTTTTTCAAAGTTGATAGGCGTAATTGAAAGATATTTGGTTGGTTTGTTTGATTAAGGTACTGTTGCATTCAAATTGCCAAAAATTTAATTAAAATTATTGTGTCTTGAGAAAACCAAGTCGGTTTTTGTTTCACTAATATAGTCAGCTAGTCCCATTTTCTCTTTTATACGGGCTATTGAAAACTTTGCTGGGTCCAGCAAACAGGATAATGAGATTGGCTTTTTCTTATTATATTGATTTTTACGAAAAATAAGTTTTTTCAATATTTTTTTTTGTAATAGGTCTGTCAAATTTATTGGCATACATTACATGTAGATAATTTTTTGTACTTCTGTGATTTCTATATATTAACCAAAACGCTTTTAATGAATGTAGCTATGTGCCATTATTATCCTAATTTAAATGAGCTGAGGAGCTTTTTAAGATCTTTACAATTAATCTAGGCAGAATTAAAAGAATGACATTATTTGGGGCTTTTTTTAGAAAAATTTCAGTATCAAATATTTCCTGAAATTTTGAAATTAGTTCAGTTGTTTCGGAGAAATTGAAAAATAAATCTGAAATACTTTTTTCATGATAAGAATAGCCTTTTGACGGCCATGGTATTTGTTATAGCCCTCTTTGGCTTTCAAAAAAACAAAAACTAAAACACACTAAAGAAATATAGAACATTTTTCTTTTTCCGTTTTAACATACTTCTTTGGAAACTTTTTCTAAGCAAACCTCCATTAGATATTCATTGAAATAAATAAAGTTTTTTGCTATACGTATTATTTTTATTTATATTATCAGCTTCTTTTTCTTCCAGATGTTGACAATAACGTGATTAATTTTAATACAAATCATATAACGAGTTCCACAAGTCCACTTCCTGTGTCAAATAGTGCTACATCTAGCCCAATTGCTATAAACAACAATGGTGGAACAATGACAAATACATACCCTCAAGGAGTGACTTCTTGTGCTATATGTGGTGATAAGGCAACTGGAAAACATTATGGCGCTTCAAGTTGTGACGGCTGTAAAGGCTTTTTCAGAAGAAGTGTGAGAAAAAACCATCTTTATAATTGCAGGTAATTCCTTTCTTAAAAAAATGTTTTTATATCTGAATCATATATGAAAACATTTTAAGTGTTCATACCCTTATTTGAAAGTGTATTGGTAGCCATCATTTTTATACACATACGAACGTATGTTCGAAGGGTATACTAAATTTGCTTTACCGTTTGTAACGCTAAGAAATAACGGTGTTAGATATAGACTCGAGTGTATGTTTTTGATCAGTGTCAAATTTTGAGTTGATTTAGCTTTGTCTGTCCGTCCGTCCGAACGATAACTCAAAAACTAATTGAGCTAAGCTCACCAAATTTTCACAAATGATTTATTGTAGTAAGTGCCAGAACCCTATTTAAATTGGACGTGATCGGGGTACCGGTTCGGGTGGCTGCCATACAACTTCAAAATTTATTTGGCTATATCTCAGAAACTATAAAAGTTGTGGTATTGAAATTTCACACAAATGAATATATTAGTAGGGTCAATGTGTCTCATAAAAGTCGTTGAAATTACTTGGCTCGTTCTGATACCTGCCATACAACTTCAAAAGTTATTTGACTATATTTCAGAAACTATAAAAGTTGTGGTATTGAAATTTCACACAAATGAATATATTAGTAGGGCCAATGTGTCTCATAAAAGTCGTTGAAATTACTTGGCTCCTTCTGGTACCTGCAATACAACTTCAAAAGTTATTTGGCTATATCTCAGAAACTATAAAAGTTGTGATATTGAGATTTCACACAAGTGAATATATTAGTAGGGCCGATGTGCTTGATAAAATTCGCTAAAATTTCTTGGCTCCTTGTGGTAGCTGCCATACAACTTCAATAGTAGTTTGGTACAACCAGTATTTTGAAAAACACATAGTACTGAAATTTTGCATGAATTAATATGGTAATACGGCAACTTAAAGTCATAGTCTGCCCCATAGTTAGTTATGGCACATTAGTTATTCGCACATAGGATAACAAATTCGTATGGGTATCACAGAGTTGACAAGGTCAACTCTACTTTTTTTCTCGTTTTTAAGGAAAATTCAATTTATTGTCTCTGTCTTTATCCCCGGTAAAGTTTGAACATATTTATGAAAAAAATCGCTAAATATAAATTGACCTTAAACTTTATTATGTTCGTTGCAATAGGAGCTATCATATCTTTAATTCTAATCAAGATTCTATTTGATATTGCCAACTTTCTTATGACCACTCTTTAGTTGCTCTTGAATTAACAAAACAATGTTTTAATTTTAATCAAAAAAGTAAGCAGTAAAATAAAGCTTAAATTCCTTTACAGATTTTCGCGAAACTGTGTTGTCGATAAAGATAAACGTAATCAGTGTAGGTATTGCCGTCTCAGAAAATGTTTCAAAGCGGGAATGAAAAAAGAAGCTGTTCAAAACGAGCGGGATCGAATAAGTTGCCGGCGCACGTCGTATGAAGATTCTAATCCATCGAAAGGTCTATCTGTTATTGCATTGCTAAAAGCTGAAATGGAAAGCCGGCAGTCAAAAGCAGGAGCAGCAATGGAGAATGGGCCAGATGACATTGATTTAAAAAATAGGCAATATGCTAGCATAAATGATGTATGTGAATCCATGAAACAACAATTATTAACTTTGGTTGAATGGGCTAAACATATTCCAGCTTTTAATGAGCTGCAGCTAGATGATCAGGTTGCATTATTGAGAGCGCATGCAGGCGAGCATCTATTACTCGGTTTATCTCGGCGATCAATGCATTTAAAGGAAGTGCTTCTCCTAGGAAATAATTGTATCATAACAAAACATTGTCCTGGTGAGATCATTTTGCTCAAATATGAATTATTTCAATTTTATTCTGAAACCACATTCTAGACGAGCGTTTATCACCTAATTTAGATATTTCAAGAATAGGAGCACGAATTATAGATGAACTTGTTTATGCTCTTAAAGATATAAATATTGATGATGCAGAGCTAGCTTGCATTAAAGCTTTGGTTTTCTTTGATCCGAGTAAGTAGAACGTTTTTTGCTTGCGGAATTTTCATTTTTATTTTTAATTAGATGCCCGCGGACTGAATGAACCACAGCGTATTAAGAACTTGCGTCATCAAATTTTAAACAACCTAGAAGATTACGTTTCTGATCGTCTTTATGAGTCAAGAGGGAGATTCGGAGAAATATTACTAATTCTTCCAGTTTTGCAGTCCATAACCTGGCAAATGATTGAACAAATACAATTTGCCAAAATATTTGGAGTTGCACACATTGACTCTCTACTGCAAGAAATGTTATTAGGAGGTATGAAACTTTTGATCATAAATTTTAAATATTTATATTCACAATATTATGAAGTACTTACGTAAATAAACTTTACCCGATTTTCCTTGTATTCAAGATAAAAAATTTTCATAACATGACCCCATTTTTAACAAAACCAATGAAAAAAATGGAAAAAATAAAAGTTTTTTCAAAAAATAAAGAATACAAAAAAAAAAAACTTCGCATGGAATTTATTTACATATATATGAATATATTTGTAATTTTGTAGTTTTATAACAAAATAAAATGAAAATTTTGAAGTTTTATAATTAAATAAAGTAAAAACTGAATTTTGTATTAACTAAATTGTAGTAGAATTTAATGGAATTATAGTAAAGTATTCACGATGCAAGTGAATCAGCACTTTTATTTGTATAGCATTCTATTAAATTCATTGAATGTAGTAGAATACTGTACATTTCATTTATATTAAATTGAATATAGATATTTATTTAAGTCTTTTAGTTTTATTTGTGTTGTATACTTTATTAATATATCAACATTTAATATATATTTTAAGTAAAGTATATCTATTTAAGGAGTAGTTCGAAACTTGTTCCTAGCCCTTAATTTTCCCTTGCACACCACTTCCACTGTTCTCAAAATATTTCGTTTTTAATAAATAAATGTTAGTAGGAGCTGCATAGGCAAAAAAAAAATATTGTAAACAAACGAGTGTATCAAAAATACCGAACTGAAATAAAATTAAATTTTGTTAAAAATTTTATTTTTATTTTAATAAGAACAAAATTTATTTTTTTTTCCGATTCAAAAAAGTTAGATAAAAACATTTCAATGTATGAAAGCAATAGGTATATATGAATTTGTATATTGGATAGTTATATTAGACATAAGAATAGATACACAGTATGATGTAGCGATATATTAGCCTGTTTACAGGAAAAAATTGAAGCCTATTTTATGTCTGTACAAATATTACTTAATGTGAAGCTGTCTTCCCTCAAGTCAATAAAAATTTTGCGTACTTGGCTTGCGATGTTGATAGTGATTTGAAATTTAATATCTAAACGTCATTTTCGGGCTTTCTAGCTGATATGGTAAAAAACACAACACGCACTGTTTCAAGTCAATTAACGAGGTATAGAAATAAAGCAATTTATAAAAAAAATGTGAATTAATACTAATTCGTACTTTGTGAAATATATCGATACGTGTTTATTTATGGGAAATATGTATGTGTTTTAAATTTATAAAGAAAATATTGAAATAAAAAATCAGTAACTTATATTTTTTTTTTTTTTTTTAACAAAAAAAGAAAAAAAAAATTATGTTTGTATGATTAATGTATGATTATAAAATCATAAATATTACAAAAAAAATCAATGGTTGTGTGTGTACATACTTGTAAATATAATGAGCTATTAATTATTACCATGTTTGTGTTTTTTATACTCTCTTTTCAATACACAGCTCAAAAAATTGAAAATTTTATTAATTTTTTTTTTAATTTTTTTTTTTGAAAAAAATTTAATGAAACAATTAGAAATATGTATAATACTATGTATGTATATAAATTTCCAATTGCGAATAAAATATTTACATATTATGTATTTGCAAAAATTTTTTGAAAACTGAGAAAAGGAATTGGAATTCTTGGTGAACGCAGAATAAAACGATTCGTTTTTCATTATTCAAGTTGCTAGAGAAGACCTTAAGAATATAATGTCAATTGGAAAAATTAAATTGGATGGGATATATGCAAAACTTATGAAAACTTTGATGTTAGGAGATGCTTTAAATGTTTGGCTTTTACCCACAATGCGGACAAATTTTCTGCTGAAAACGTTTATTGTATTAAAAGTGGTAGAGAACTCTTAGCAAAAAAAATGCACAAACAATATCATTCAATATATAAATTGTATCAGAGCAAATAGATCGTTGAACCTAAATTTGGATGTTAAGCGCAGAATATATGATAGATATTGTCCACGTTAATGAAGAAAATTGAAATTGAAAAACAAAAAAATTTCAGATAGGTTCAAAAAATATAATAAATTCCTTAAGTTGTATACATATATTGAAATATCGATGGAATAACGGAAGACTTTGCTGCATTAGAATTTATGAACGCAAATAAAGATTTTATTTGTGGTGATTTTAACGTGAACTGGTTAAAAGAGAACAATGATAAACAAGCCATCAAAGGAATAATAGATATCAGTAGTTTAAAACAAGTTTTTTGCTTTCCAACTAGAAATAACTGACTCCTCTTCGACGCTAAGTGATTGCGTAATAATTAGTTTACCTGAAATAAATAGATTTACTACCTCCAACAAAGTTGATTATTTAATTTCTAATTATCAAGCAATTGAAATCAAAATTTGTGTCAAAGAAAAATATGATTTTCGGCGAATTGAGATTGATTCAATTAAAATTCTTAGGAACAGATTAGAAGAGGTTTTGTATGAGCAACAATTTCAAAATTTGTGTAATGTTATGTGAGAACTTGTTCCAACAAATAGTAGAGAGTTCGATTAAAATATTTAGAAAGAAAGTAACAATATATCTTAATAATCAAGAGTCGTGTAATGATGAATTACGCGAGTTGAACAGTAGAAAAACATTAGCTTGCCAACGCGCGTCTTTAACAAATGATAGAAATCTATGGAATTATTACAAAACTAGTCGAAATCATTACAATATTGCTATAAGAAGAGCTAAAGACGAGTTCATTGAAAAAAGGCTTCAATATTCTATTCTAATTTAATGTGGAGATCAGTAAAAAAATATGTCACTAAAATAAAAATGATGTAATTGAAAAGATAACAGCAAATAATAGCATAATTACAATTAACAGATTTTTCATAAATAGTATTAAAAAAATTTTCGATAACATCCTCTTTGTGGAGTATCAAAATTTAATTAATGAATCAAGCTGTGATTTAAATTTGGAGGAAATGACAAAGATGACTTGTATACAACAATAAAATCAATGAATAGCAAAAAGGACTAAACACTAAAATAATAATAGATTCGTATCATATATTTGACGATGTTTTGGCTCATTTGATAAATTCATCTTTGCAGAGTATTTTCCTACTTACTTGAAAAGAATCAATTGTTTGTCTGAATACAAAAGGTATTCATGCAAACAAAGGTAGACAAAAGTCATCATGCAAAGTTACACCAATCAATATAAACACCGATAAAAAATATTAGAAAAACTGTAAGCTTACAATTAGAAAGATACTTGAATGAGAACAACATATTATGTGATGAACAGAATGGTTCAGAGGCAAACATTCATGTCAAACAGCTCTGAATATTGTTTTCTATGATTCGAAAAAAGCTAAGGAAAATAATTGTGAGATATTAGCGGTATTTTTAGATTTTAAGAGAGCTGTCAAGACAGTTGATCCGAAAATATTATTGGACAAATTTGAAAAAATATGGTGTAGTGGCACTAATTCTAAATAGTTTAAAAATTGTAGAAAGCAAAAGGCATTTATAGACGAGGAATTTTCAGACAACGGAATCCCTCAAGGATACAATACTAGGTGTTTTAAGTTTCTTGTTGCATATTAATGAAATCAAATTAAGTGTTGGATCTTGTATAATTATTGCATTGCTGATAATGCTTTAGTTGATATTCTTGGACGTGGTGTTGATGAATCTTGTGTTAAAATGAATGCCGATCTAAATGATTTATTCTGAGTGGATTGCATTAAATATTTGAGAGTGTTGATAGACAGGGAATTGAATTTAGATAAACATGCAGATCATGTAGCTCTAAAATAACTGAAACAGTTGGATATTTAGGCAGAATAAGACACAAACTCACATTAAAATGTAACAATATTGCCTCATTTGGATTATTGTTCGTCTTTATTATTTTTATGTAATGAAGTAAAAAAGATAAATTACAATTATTGCAAAATCAGGCAACACGTATTATTTTAAAATGCAATAGAAGAAGAAATATCACATGTGTAATCATGTAAAAAACTTGTACAAAAATGCGTCAATACGGTAATTCTTTAAAGTTTGGTGTCCAAAAATGTCGAAAATACGCATCATATTAAATCAGTTGTGCATCAATATTCTTTGTGATTTTGTATTGATGAAAAGTTCTTTAAATGGAAGCTCAGAAGTAATTAATAATTTATTATTTTAACTCAATAACTAAAAAAGTTAATTATTTCTTTATGCACGGTATTAGTATTTTTAAATGTTCCATTATATTAAAATCTCCAAAATTTAATTGAAATTTAAAAAAATTTTTTCTAATAAATTTTCAGTGTTTTAAATAATTTTAAAGCTATAAACCTTTTCAAAATAAACGCCAAAAAATGATTTAGAAAGTCCCCAAAAATGTCAAAATAATATTGCATCAGCTAGATAAACGCATCACATCGGTATAGCATCAGCAACTTTTTTTTGCATCAAATCTGAATTGATGCACATTTTTGATTACTTTCCGATTATACCCTTGCTTTCAAGGTTTTGGTGTATGCTTTTAAAATAAAACATCATTTGCTTCCCAACTATCTCAAAAATTATGTTGGAAAGGTTACAAACTAATTTGAGAACTAATTTGTTGAGATTGCCGTTTTTCCGAAGACGTTTAATAATCTGCCTGCTGTGATAAGAAATGAAAGCCGTTTGAGTCATTTTAAAAATATTCTAGTAATGTACTCAATACATTATAGAATTTAATATATAATACATAATGAAATTTAATATTATAAATAATTATTTTCTACTACTTTCTTTTTTGTTATTTTATTTGATTTTAATTAAAGTTTAATAATGATTTCGTTAATTACAATTTTTTTATTTAAAGCTCCTTTTTATTAAGTTTTTTAATTTTAAGATTTTTTAAAGTTATATAATTTCAAATTTTTTATTTGTTTTTCTTTTTTGAAACATATTAGAAGTGACGTATTTGAAAAATTGATATTTTAAAAACATATTTTGTTGGACAAGGTTATGAGTTAATGAAATACTAAATTGTATTA